TTTTATTTATTTCGTGAATAAATATCATTGTATCACTTATACTTATAACATACGTCTTACTACTGCGGATGACCATATTTCAGTACTTTGACCCTTTATATCTTGGGAAATATTAACTTTTGGAACTTGGTGCAATGATAACTTTTTATCAACATGGTGAAAACTAAACATAGTGAAATTTCAGCCAATTTGACCGAAAACCATTTTCCATAGGTTTTGTGCGGGGTCTTTTGTCGCATAATTTGTTATTTTTTATTAAATTCTCCGCGACAATTATTTCTGCAAGGAGAACTGTATTACAGCGCACACAGCAGTCGTTTAGATAAATTTTTGTCGAGATGTATAACTTTATTTTTTGTACTCATACTATGATACTATTATTAAGATCTTTGAAGTAGTTACTCTGACATTTTTCATACAGTCATTTATATAGTTTATATTCATTTTCTATTCTTTTATTATGTGCTTTCGTATAGCTCCTAATACAATGGCTATCGTATACTGACGAGCAAATTTAAATGTAATTGTAGAAATTGATAAAGCGAAATTTGGGAGATGAAAATATCACCATGGGCGTCTGATTACTGGCCAATAGTTATTTGGTGCTGTTGAACGACACAGTGGAAAAATGTTTGTTGTTCCTGTTGAACAACATTCCTCCCAAATACTTATATCAATAATACTTCGTCACATTGTACCAGGCAATATTATCTATAGTGACTGCTGGAGAGCATATACTGATTTGAAAAACTACAATTACATGCACCAAGTTGTAAATCACAACAAGCAAGTTTTAGATCCGCATATAGGAGTTATATGCGCATATAGGAGCATATTGCGCACCCGCAAAATATAGAGCATTTATGGCGTGATATTTGATATTGAATACCAAGATATGGAACTCGCAATTATCATTATATACATTATCTAAATGAATTTATATTTAAACAGCAATATCAATACTGTAAACGTATTGATGAATTTTTTTAAATTATGGCTTTCTTATATCTAATTAAAGATCATAATAAAGTACATAATGGTGAATAAATAAAATTTTTTTTACATAATTTCTTTGTGGAAAAGTAATAAATATAGAAAAATAGTACACGTATATGCGCATGCACGCACGCACGCACTCTATGTAATCTCTTATATCCAATAATTTCCGAAACTTTTTTGTTTATTATTTTTTAATAAATAACAAGCGCCACTTAAAACTTTTTAAACGTTGCTCAGGAAAAATTACATTGTTTAAGGGTTAAAAAGAAGCATTATTTATTAGTAAATTTTAATTTAAATTTTAGTTTTTATTTTTATCTAATTTGTTCAAATATCAATTTGCAGACCCAATAATATGGTGGATGTCTTATCTACGCGTCTCCAGGAGGTGTATGCCAAATGGGAGTCTAAGGCAGAAATAACGCGAAATGCAAAACCTACAACCACTCGATTTTCATTGGATGGTAACGAAGATATTTTTTATTTGTTTGTTTCATACATGACACGTTCATCACCAGTATCATATATGACACATCCGATCTCTAGTATCTCACATATGTGGCATCTCAGTCGATACAGTTATATATTTACTATATAATAATTATACTTCTTCCTGTATCACACATTATATAACATGAAAATTACTGCAATATTGTATTTATGTTATAATTTGCAATTAAATTATAATTTTACCTTTCCTTAGAAATATAATAGTATATACATGTTAAATATATGACTTTATAACACTCATGAATATTATAAGTATGTTATATTATTATTTCCATAACAGCTATGAAAACATAACACAGTCTGTTAATAATTAAATAAGACAATAAATGTATAATTAATATACATTCAAGATATATTTTCTCTGTAATACATGTTTTCATATTTTAATTTCTAATAAAATATATTTTAATTTTCAAAGTTATATATAGCAACGATGGAATGTGTCGACTGGACAGTTATACAGAAAAAGACTAAAATTACAAAAGTTATATAACTATTATAACATATTCGTCATATAACATACTCGTCATATATTTTTATTTTTCAAGTTATATAGCAGCAAATAAATATGTGGATTGTTATGTAGGAAAAATGGATTGATATGTAGTTGTGTAGAAAAAGATAGTAAAATTACAAAACAGTAATATAATTGTTATATAACTGTATATTACTGTATATTATATAACTGTAACATATTTATTATATACCTTTTTATTTGTAAGTTATATAAAAGTAATTGAATGTGTCGACTGGAATATTATTTGAAATACTCATTTGTCTATTTAATACATTTTACGTGTGCATAAGTGCAAATGTGCGCTATATTAAGCTACTAAAAATATAATATGAGTTGTAGTAACTTCTAATTTATAAACACGGTAACAGACATAACTTTAATTAAATAACTTTCTGTAAATAGCTATGAGATTTTTGAGATTTATTAAAGGATCGTTTAATTACTGTTCAAATTTTGGCCTTTTTCTTTGCCCCACAAGGACGAATAGTCATCTCCAATGTATTTTTGACTGATAAACACGAATCCGTTGTCTAAAGAAGTAGCGAAAAAAGCTTTTGGGCCTTTCTTTATTTTTTAATTTTTTCTTATGGTATATCACTAGTAATTTTCCTGATATTTAAAAAAAAGAGTTACACCTTAATATTTTCTTTATTGTGGAATTTACAGGCTATCATTTACAATCGACAATAATCATAGAATACCCTAAATAAAAGATGAATTAATATGTTAAATGTTTTTATTAATGCACAATATAATATAAGGTGTAGTAAAAAGAAACCCATTATTTTTCCAATAGATTGCTTTAGTAACATGTATCTTGCGTTGTATAAGTGCGATTGGTTTACGCTAGATGGCGTTAGAAAGATAAGATTTCGTACTAAAAACACTTCTCAGAGCTTTGTGATTATTTGACTCAGTCATTGTTTGAGCGCGCGTCAAAGATGGACACCAGCAAAGAGAAAATACGCCATATTTTACAGTTTTTCTTCGATGAAGGCGAAAACGCAAGCCAGGCGGCTGAAAATGTGAATAGTGTTTATGGTTTTGATACTGTAACAGCCAATCACGCGCAATTTTGGTTTCGTTGATTCCGTTCCGGTAATTTTGATGCCAAAGATGCACCACGCTCTGGAAGGCCAATTGTCGAAAATGTCGATAAAATAATGGAAATCGTCGAGTCCGACCGTCATGTAAGCACTGTTTCGAATACCCAGGAGCTAAACATTGCACAAAAAACCGTTTGGAACCACTTGAATACAAAAAGGCTGGATACAAAAAGAAGCTCGATGTATGGGTGCTACACGAGTTAACGCAAAAAAACCTCATGGACTGAATTTCCATCTGCGAATCGCTGCTGAATTGCAACAAAATCGACCCATTTCTGCAGCGGATAGTGACTGGTGATGAAAAGTGAGTCACTTACGACAACGTCAAGCGAAAACGGTCGTGGTTGAAACGTGGCGAGCCGGCGCAAACGGTGGCCAAGCCAGGATTGACGGTCAGGAAGGCTTTGCTGTGTGTTTGGTGGGATTGGCAGGGAATCATCCACTATGAGCTGCTCCCCTACGGCCAAACTTTTAATTCGGACCCGTACTGTCAACAATTGGACCGTCTGAAGGAATCAATCGCCCAGAAGCGGCCAGCTTTGGTCAATAAGAAAGGAATTGTGTTCCATCAGGACAACGCTAGGCCACACACATCGATAGTGACTCGCCGGGAGCTCCGGGAGCTTGGTTGGGAGGTTCTTATGCATCCCCCTTATAGTCCGAACCTGGCACCAAGTGATTACCACCTGTTCCTGTCTATCGCGAATGATTTTGCTGGTGAAAAATTCGCCTCAAGAGAAGCTTGTGAAAATCGAGTGTCCCAGTTTTTTGCCAATAGGGACAAGAGTTTCTATGAGAGAGGCATAATGGAATTACCTTCAAAATGGCAACAAGTTATCGAACAAAACAATAATTTTCAAAATTTAACCTAAATCGGATCATTCTAACTATGCTAAATAAAGCCTTCAATTTCATGCAAAAATAATGGATTTCCTTTTACTACACCTTATATAATATATATTAGGTGAAGTAAAAAGTTCTGAGCGTTTTCCGCTAGATGTCTTTAGTGAGCCATATCTCACGATGTATACATCGCATCGAGTCATACTATACGGTGATTTAAAGGTGACATTACGCTTCAAAAAAAGTTCTGTGACAGTTTTGTGTTTGGTCAAGCCAGTTGTGTGTTACAGCGTTCCAAAATGGAGGTAAAAAAAGAGAAAATTCGATACATTCTTCAGTACCACTACGACCAAGGTGAAAAGGCGGAGCAGGCGGCCAAAAAAATTTGTGCTGTTTATGGACCTAATATATTATCGAATGCAACAGCAAAGCGGTGGTTCCAACGATTCCGTTCTGGTAATATGGACGTCGAAGATGAGACACGCTGTGGTAGGCCAATCGTCGAAAATGTCGATATAATCATGGAAATCGTCGAGTCAGACCGGCATGTGAGCAATTATTCCATTGCCCAGGAACTGAAGATTAGCCAGAAAACCGTTTGGAACCATTTGCATAAGGCTGGTCTCAAGAAGAAGCTCGATGTATGGGTGCCACACGAATTGACGCAAAAGAACCTTTTGGACCGAATTGATGCCTGCGATTCTTTGCTGAAACGTAACGAAATCGACCCATTTTTGAAGCGGATGGTGACTGGTGATGAAAAATGGGTCACATACGAGAACAACAGCCGAAAAAGATCGTGGTCCAATCGCGGTGAGCCGGCCCAAACGATCGCCAAGCCCGGATTAACGGCCAAGAAGGTTTTGCTGTGTGTTTGGTGGGATTGGAAAGGAATCATCCACTATGAGCTGCTCCCATCGGGCCAAACACTCAATTCGGACCTCTACTGTCAACAACTGACCAGATTGAAGCAGGCGATCGACCAGAAGCGGCCAGAATTGGCCAATAGGAAGAGTGTTGTGTTCCATCAAGACAACGCCAGGCCGCACACATCATTAACGACGCGCCAGAAGCTCCGAGAGCTTGGATGGGAGGTTCTATTGCACCCGCCGTATAGTCCAGACTTGGCACCAAGCGATTATCACCTTTTCAAGCATTTGCAAAATTTTCTTGATGGTACAAAACTGACCTCAAGAGAGGCTTGTGAAAATGAGCTGGTCAAGTTTTTTACCAATAGGGACGAGGACTTCTTCAATCGCGGAATTATGAAATTGCCTTCAAAATGGACAAAAGTTATCGAACAAAACGACGCATATTTGATCGAAATCGGATAATCCTAACTATGTTAATTTCATCGTCGAAATAAAGCGAAAAAACGCTCAGAACTTTTTACCTAATATTATAATAATATATATTATAATAAAATATATATTATAATAAAACATATATTATAATAAAATATATATTATATTAAAACAAGATGCAAGCTTCTTCATTAATTTCTTGATTTATGCACTAGGCGTTTTGCCTGTTGTTTTCCGTACGACGTTAGCTGCTGTACGAAACAAGGATTTCACTAATGTTTATTTTTCAGTATGAGCGCAATATAGTGTGTGACCTATAGTCATTTTTATTTATGTCAGAGATTACACATTCCTACATCACATATATGAAAATCTTTTAAGTACTCGATTGCATTCTATGTAAAATATTAAAGTAAAAGTGAAAAAAACTGCTATTTTCGAGGATTTTTGAGAAGAAAACCCCTAACAGCACAAATGTCTAAATAACATGCGCGTATGTCTTGAGGATGTCCTGGGGATGTTTCTACGTTCTCCAGACATCTCTGGGACGTCCCCAGGACACCTTGTGCTGTTCGAGGAGTCAACTTCGACAAATATTTTCTTGTAATCAGAATTGAACTAACAAATGTTTATTATATTCGTAAACCTTATACACGTTACAGATTTACAAGGAGATGCCACAACCTGCTAAATTGATTTCTGAACGAGACATAGCACGTTCGCTAGCTGCGATGTTAAGCATCAACACCCTAATTGAGATTTGTTCAAATGGGCCTTTGTTTATGAGAAATTACAATATAAAGTTTGGATTGCGGGACTGTATCACGGATATGGCTAAGAATGCGACTGTCTTTCAACGAGGTGGCGTGGCTGAGCAGACTAAGGCTCCCACGTCGAAAATTTTTGAGCCGGCAGCGAGCGTTCAAAACCCGGCAACGAGTTATCCTTGTGCGGTGTTTTTTTTTTTTGTTTTTCTTACCTTAGAGCATGTAATTAATGTTTTTTGAATATGATACATTTGTTTTGCATATGTCTCGTTTTTATGCTATTAATCAGAAGTAATTAGGGAAGTGTCAGGCTTGTTTAACGCAAACACGAATATAGACACATTTTGCATTGCTTACAATGAAATATATATTTTAGTATATCACTTTCATATGAAAACATTGTATACAACATTGTCATATAATAAAACATTCTCATATAATAAAACATTTTCGTATAATAAAACATTGTCATATAATAAAACATTATCGTATAATAAAACACTGTTATATAATAAAACATTGTCGTATAATAAAACTTTATCGTATAATAAAACACTGTCATATAATAAAACATTGTCGTATAATAAAACACTGTTATATAATAAAACATTGTCATATAATAAAACTTATACGCTATAAATACTTACATTGAAATATACAACGAAATATTTCGCAATGACGACAATAAGCCGACATGTAATTTACAAATAATACCACCTAAGTGTACACTAATCTGTCAGCCATGCGACGTTTATTTTTATAGGCAGGTAAAAATTCTTATCAAGCGGATACATGATTGTCCATTTTTACTTGCAGGCAGCCAAAGTATTAATTTGAACACTCGTGCTGATGCGATTTGTATACAATCGCTCACGCACTATGTATTATCAGCACTATGTATTATCAAATTTATGTTGCAATATGCGTGGTATGCGTTAAATTTAGTTGAAACTCGCAATATCTTTTATAATGTTAACCAAATTTGTTTTCCAGCTAATATATATAGTCAGCGTTGTATTTGTGCACATAATAATGCATTCATTGCATGCAGTTGGTGCAAACATTTGTTATGTTTTAATTGTTTTTATACAGAATTCCATCCGCAATATTGTGAAAAAATGAAAGATATTTATAGCGTATAAGTTTTATTATATGACAATGTTTTATTATATAACAGTGTTTTATTATACGATAATGTTTTATTATACGATAATGTTTTATTATATGACGGTGTTTTATTATACGATAATGTTTTATTATACGACAATGTTTTATTATATGACACTGTTTTATTATACGACAATGTTTTATTATACGAAAATGTTTTATTATATGAGAATGTTTTATTATATGACAATGTTGTATACAATGTTTTCATATGAAAGTGATATACTAAAATATATATTTCATTGTAAGCAATGCAAAATATGTGTCTATATTCGTGTTTGCGTTAAACAAGCCTGACACTTCCTTAATTACCTCTGATTAATAGCATAAAAACGAGACATGTGCAAAACAAATGTATCATATTCGAAAAACATTAATTACATGCTCTAAGGTAAGAAAAACAAAAAAAAAACATCACACAAAGATAACTCGTCGTCGGATTTTGAACGCTCGCTGCCGGCTCAAAAATTTTCGACGTGAGAGCCTCAGTCTGCTCAGCCACGCCACCTCGTTGAAAGACAATCGCATTTTTAACCATATCCGTGATACAGTCCCACAATCCAAACTTTATATTGTAATTTCTCATAAACAAAGACCCATTTGCACAAATCTCAATTAAGGTGTTGATGCTTAACATCGTAGCTAGCGAACGTGCTATGTCTCGTTCAGAAATCGATTTAGCAGGTTGTGGCATCTTCTTGTTAGAAAAAAATAAAACTTAATCTCTATCACTCATTTTATAAAATAATGTCGACGTGGGCCAATTTCCGATCTTTTCGCCATCCCTTCTTTGGCTATCACGTTACAATTTTGAAATAAATAAGACAAAAATGAACTAGAAATGATTTTAAGAAACTATATAATATTATATAGCGATATACCAAGAACATTTTTTTTATCTTATTAATGTAATATTTTCACTTAAAATATCGTTTTATGCATAATTTTTAAGATTTTTTTTAAATGAAATTATAAAATATTCTTTATTTTTCATACAAATTTATTCGTTCTTTATTTTTTATACAAATATTTATGCTTTAAATACTCTCTAAATTTCTTGGAATAAAGTTTCACTTTAAACGAATAAATATTTAATCCAAGCGATAATGAAAATACTGTCATTCTGAATGGAGTGACATTCAAAACCTTACAACTTTTAAATTTATTTAACATTTAGCAATAAGACCACATAGATTTTTCATTAATGCTACATAGAATTACCATTGAAAGTTTTATTGAAATTTGGCATTAAAGTAACTTAGGTTACTTAGTAATTAAAAATTTTATCTGTGGATGCGTATGTGTTAATAAATGTTAGCATGTATTCAAACAAATTTGCTTTAATTAAGTTTTCTTAATTGACTAAGTCTGAAATATATATCGACAGGTCTTCGGAGAGCTGGGGAACACTTCCAGAGAAGAAAAATTCAGGAAAAGGAAGAAATGCGGAAGTTCCGCGAGAGTTCATTGTTCGATATCAAAGAGAACGCATTCTCTATGACTTTAATCGGAAGAAGCCCGTTTTCACGCCGTTGCTGTTATAACTGCACACCGGTTTCTAGAGTGAGTTTTTCTCTGTATTTGTGTTGTCGGGTTTATTATTGGCTATTTTCGATTGGTTTTTCATCAGTTTAATAACAAACCGAAAATTCATGATTAACTAACTCGGTGTTCATCATCAATCTAGCATTTCATATAATTTCGCACGTAAACATAATCTTAAAAAACAACAGTGTCTCGCGCCAAGTGTACGCATGAAGCGACGAGAGTGACGAAACTGGTCGTCTATACGCGATGCGTCTAATTGACTACAGACTCTTGTTCGTATCGCTATAATGTGTAAACCAATAGATTTCTGGTTAGACTCAATTAATTATTTCAAAGTTTTCCGTAAAAGAACATTTTCTTTTTTTACCTTGCTTTACAAAAATACAAAAAGAATTTATATATTGTGCGTAAATTCTTCCTTCCGAATTTACTAAGTTTTAAGAAATTATTTTTGTCGTCTGCAATGTTAATTTGTTTTTTATTCTGTATTATGACGCTACGTAGCAAATAGTGAAAGATTGGATAAAGAGAGAAAAAAAAATGAATGAGCAAGTAAGTGCGCAAGTGAGTGAACAAGAGAAAATGGGACGGGGCAGGTGAGAACAACAGAGAAGAGGAAGATAAAAAATATAATAATGCAGATAAATTGAGTAGATCTTACATATACTAATTATTATACATATATTAATAATATTATTTATAGTATTAAAAAACACAATTTTATATTTACATATCTCTTTTTTTATTAAAGTGTTAAGCACACGCCCTGTCTGCATTCTTTCAAGAACTGCTTTCCTTTCAGTTAAAGATAAATATTTAAATTATCTAAATGTAAATAATCAAGAAATGTTTAAATTTAACATTGATTATAAGGTACTTAATATGATATATCCGCATACAATATAATCTTATTTTAGAAAAGTAAGAAAACACGCATTCCTTTATTCAAATAAAGCCACACAAAGAAAAAGAATTACATAACAGGATTATATAATTATATATAAGAGGATAAAGAATATTCTTTCAAAATATTTTTGTTGATATACAGTGTCCCATTTTTAATGCCCCGGCAAAAATCTAAAAAAATATGGAAGATATGGAAAAATCTTTTAAACAAAAGTTATATGGTTCGATAGTGGACATAAGAATTGGTTTGACCTTGTGTTGAGCCGCCAAGCAGGTCGAGGTCAACTTTTTTTTAAATAGAAACATATATTTTTTATTACGGAATTTTATACTACGTAGGAAACAAACAACTTTTGTTTGAAAACAATTTTTATACGACCTCTATTTTTTAAAATATTTACGGAAATATCTACAAAATTATTGGTTTCAATAATTTTTTACTCAAATTTTATCAACTTTATCGAAAAATAGTAAGAGATAAAAATTATCTATTTTCTTCTCATAGAGCTCTAAAAATTTTTTCAGAATTTTTAAAAAATTTTGTAGTACTTCAAGAAAATACAAAAAATGCAGTACTAAAAAGTTAATTAAAAAATTCTGAAAAAATGTTCAGAGCTCTATGAGAAGAAAATAAATAATTTTTATCTCTTGCTATTTTTTGGTGAAGTTAATAGAATTCGAGTACAAAATTATTGAAACCAATAATTTTGTAAATATTTCCGTAAATATTTTAGAAAGTAGTAAATATTTTAGAGTCGTATAAAAAATTTGTTTAAACAAAAATTGTTAGTTTCTGTACGTAAAATAAAATTCCGTAATAAAAAATATATGTTTCTATTTAAAAAAGCACAGTTAACCTCGACCTTGTTTTTTTTTTTTTTTTTGTTAAGGCAGAGGAAATGCATTACGCACACCCCAGGGAACGCGGGAGTTTCCCAGGAGTAGTGTGGGATTCCCTCCCCCCCGGCACTAACCACCGAGGGAGGCCTAACCACTAAAATCTTTGCCGGGACCCTAGCGGCTACTACGATGGCATCCCGGGAACCGCTTGTGCATAACTTCCGGGACGCCCTCAGCCGCAGGGTGGGTCGTAGTCCGACCCGTCCTCTTCCTGGGCCGGGGGAAAAACTATAAACCCCCGGCCTAATCCTTCCTATATATTTGTGGCTAAACGTGGGACCTTCCGTCCAGCCACCCTATCCCTGTTGAGGTATCAGAGGCCAGGTCTTCTCCCGCAATGACCCCGTCAACTCCACTGGACCCGACCGTGGCTTACGGGG